GTTGTCAATTCAAGGCGGAGTAACCTTCAACCTGATTAAAATCTTAGCGGTTTACAGGAGCAGACCAAAGTATATGATTGGCTTGACCCTATAAGAAAGATAACTCTGAATAAGTATTTAAACAGCTCTAAGCACTAAGAATATGTGATATTTGTTCCTCTAACAATTTAGGAGATGAATTCCACTATCTTTTAGAATGTGCTTTTTTCGAAAGAGAACGAAAAAAACTTGTTCCAAATATTTTTATGCTAACCCTAATGTTATTAAATATCATGACCTGTTAAATTGTAAGGATGGTAAAATCATTTTTGGACTTGCCAAATTTTGCAAAATTTTATTGTCAGTAATAAATTGATAATAACAAAACAACTGTTTAAATTATGTTGTACTACATATAGACTAATACTAGCAGAGGCCTTCCATACTTTGATGTTTTGAACTATACATGTATATAGTAATTAACATTAGTGCCACTCATTTCATGCTTGTACGAGGGGCATTTCAAAAGTTCTGGTAACTGGTATGTTATTTTGTTGTATCATTTGTATTCATATACTCAGTACCCCAGTTGGGGTCTTTGTCTTAAATAAAACTTGAAACTTGAAAAATATTTTTTTGGACTCTGCATGAAAAAAAAAATCGGATTAAGGCGTACGGATGGAGCTTATTTAGTATAGGTTCATTTTCATTGTACAGAGTATTCACTCGATGTTTCTCCAGAGAAAATATTCAAAAACAATAAAATATTAACAAAAATCCCCGTTGTTTAAATTCCTTAGAGAATAAATTCAAATAATGTTTTACTTTAATATTTTACAAATCGCAAATCAATCTATAGCTGCATAAAATTACATGCACGCGCTATAAGAACTCTTTAGTAAACTTGTGTTTAGAACCTCCTTAAACTTGTGTTTAGAACCTCCTTAAACTGCTTATCTTTGAACAGCATGATTTTATTTAAATTTGGAATTGCAGAGTAAGCTTAAGTTTCATGATTATTTCCATATTCTTTTTTAAAAGTAGTTTTTTTTAAAAATGCATTTAATTCAGCAGAGATTTTTTCTCCCTTTATAAAGTTTATTACTTTTATACATTGTTTTGACTGATGTACATAAAAATGCAATGGTTATACACATTGAATAAAACACCGGAAGGGAAAAATGAAAGAAATGTTAAATTTTTGTAATACCCGGAATTAACCCTTCTATCATCTTTATTTTGTCTTCATACAAATTGCTAGGCCTAAAAATCTTCCTGCATGTTTCATTTCTCTATAGCCCATGTACACGGTGACAAACATATATAATAAGTTTTTTTTAATGAAAATTCAGTACTTATTCTAATTCATGCAATAAATTTAAAAATACAAAAGGTTCATCTTTATATTAAGGTTATTACTTGGGGTTATCTCCCTCTATTTTCTTAAATTTTAATTTTCCATTTGATTAAAACTCACCCCTTCTGTTAACAGTGATGAGTTACTTAATTCAATTATTAGTTCAAACATAATTTAAAATTATTATTAAAATGCCATTACATAATTTAATGTATTATGATATTTTTTTTAAATATTAGACATGCGTAGATCAAGACTCAGAAATCTTTGAAAAAGTAAAATTAAATTTAAAAAGTAATAATAATGAAAATAAAAAAAAAGGCAAACAACCTGTTTAAAGCCCATATACTTTGGTAATAAATCATTTGTATTCTAGCGTTGTATTGTATTAATGTTTTCAGGAGTCCATATTTTCTAGTAGGGGGAGGGGGGGGGGGGTCCATGGTCTTTTTTTTTGGTTACTTATTACATATTAGATTAATAAATTTGAAAATTATAGGAGGGTGAAAATTTGTCGATTTCAATTACATTTGTTGTACCCAAAACAATGAGAGTAGCGAGCCTTTTCTAAAATTACATTGTAACACCCTCAGAAAATGGTCATCCCTTAGAAATGTGCATTTTTAGAGTCAGCTTAACATGTTTATCGTGATTTGGTAAAATATGAGATCTTTTCAGATGAGGAAAAAATGAGTCCATATATTGCTGAAATTGAAAGGAAAATTAATATGCTGAATTGCAAAAATTATATTGATTATAGACATACATGATTGTTACTGAAACAGAAAAAAATATTTATTCATAATACACAATTCATATAGTGTCTGTATTGTGTTTAACAGGGCGAAAATTTTACATTTAAACGAGTTGACCTGGAGAAAAGCCAAAGTGTCCCCAATGCTGGGGGGGGGGGGTGTCCTTTGGGGAGATTCCATGATTATGTAAATGTAGACCAGTGTGCCATCTAGCGTTTATTCAGATAACGTTCATTCTTTGCACAACATCCAGCACCAATTCTGTTAATGACTGTCGGTGACCGTTCCTTTTTCATTTTATTTCTTTTGATTTTTAAAAACTATTTAAATTTTAATTTGTTTTGTACTTTAGTGCGTTTATGGAAATTTGTATTTGGTTCGGCATTAATGTTATTTTTTAACACTTTCTGTCGCTTATAAACCTGTAAATTGATAATATTTTCAATGAAACTTCGCACGAACATATGTAAGAAAAATAGGGGTATACACCCAGCGTCCAAACAGGTTCCATACACCGCGAACACAACATTGATTTTTCGTCAATATCTTTAAATACGAACTGTTTTATTTACAGACAATTTATACGTACGTTTATATAGATAATATGTATTTAACAATAATATGAAATTGGTGATAAAGCGAAGCTGATCATAAACACAATGTCGCGTCAATCTTGCTCTGATCCTCGGATTTGTGTTGAGGTGTTTGATAAAACTAGAAAGTGTACAGTGGATTCATTGCTATCCATATACTTCTTAGATAATGCTTTCTTCCGTAGGCATATGCTTTCCGGCGAAATATATCCATAAATTGAGAAATTGAACAAACGACATACATGTACCTTGACCCCCTTTCTATCGCTTCGACAGCATACACCCCATGCACAACATAGTATACTCCCCTATATATATATGAGAGAAAGAAACCGGTCTGTAGGAAACATTTTTTGTTTAAAAGGGAGTAGGGTGAAAGAATCTAACAGACAAGATTTTCCTTGTTAAGCTGAAAAAACAAACAAACGTTTTCTACTGTATAGTTATAGTATTATATTGGTAAAATTATTTACCCCACCCACCCCCATTTCAGATTCCTACAGACCTGAGAGAAGACTGTCTTAGTGTAGACTTCGGGGCATCGTTGTTTTTTTTTTCTATTAGAATATTCAATCATATAGTTATGATCGAGGATATATATGGATGATATGATTAAAAAATCATAATCAATATAAATGTAGAAAGCATCAAGTAGCTCTTCCAGCTTTAGAGACGATATTCTGTTTTATCATTTTATTATGGCCTATTTACCTGTCAGACATTAAAGCTGTCTGTCTGTTTATCTGTAATAAAAATTGTTGTCTGCGGGCGCGGATCCTAGGAATTTTTTCGGGGGGGGGGGGATCAACTCTAACACATGACAAGCAAAAGTATGAAAAAAATAATTAAAAATACTAATAATAAGATAAATAAAAAATAAATGGGTGGGGAAATGTAGATCTTCACCAATCTTCTTCAGATACATGACTCTATGACCCCTTTCTATCTGTCCATTTTATAATTCAGAGGGGTCCGTTTTTCCTATGGAGGGGGTCCAAGATTATTTTTCGGCATTTTTACTTTTTACATGGAAATTTATTAACTCTTAAATTCCAATTTAAGGGGGTCCGGGCACCCCCTGTTCCGCCGATTAGCGCATGATCCAACAAGAAGAATGAATTAAAATTATTATAGTAGAAGGGTGTGAAAGAGGTTGTGGTGGGAAAAGACCTGATATACCGTCATTTATTAGTCTTTGCAATTATTTTTAACTGTACTTTCATAGGCACTATAGTAGCAGCTAGAGTCAAATATCAATGTACTCCTTATAACATGCTAGAAATTAAATTCGTTATATTTCATGATAATTCAAAAATCTGTTGACCCCCCTCCTGGATAAATTGTCTAAACACTGCCTGTTCTCTGTGCCAAAGAGCTGAGATTGGCAAAAAACAAAATTTAATGAAACTCAAGATTTCCTCCCGCAAAATCAAATTAAATACTTTCCTAGCTCCCTCTTCTCCCCTGCCATATCATTAATTAACCATGGTGTCAGAAATTGAATTAGTCCAAAATAGCTGAAATTTTCCATTTTTTTTTTTTACATTTCAGAACGTACTATCGGACTGAAATAGAATGTGCATCATTTGACATCAAACATGCGTGGATCTAGAGGAGGGGTCGGGGGGGGGGTCAGCCCCCCCCCCCTGGAATTTGCAGAGTTATAAAAAGTATATACTGAAGCAAATAAAAAATGACTTTGGAACCCTCCCTTAGAAAACGTGGACCCCACCATCACCACCACGAAATAGGTGTTTTCACGTTTGGAAAGTGGATTTTCCCTTTTGTCAAGAATTTTTTTGGTAAGAATTTTTTTTTTTGACTGGGATGGACCCCTCTGGAAAAAATTCCTGGATCCGCGCCTGTCAAAGATTAAATTTTTTAAAACTTTTCTAACTTTTCCAATATTAATTAATTCCAATACAGCTAGAGCTTACAGCTAGCAGCCTGAAGCAGGCTCTTGTGTAATTGAGCAGTGTATGAGATAAGAAGAGTGCAGCACTCTTGGGGATCGCTGACAAGACTGGCCCAAGACAGGCCGAGGTGAAAAGACTTAAATTGTTGCTGCCCTAGACACCTGATAGCCTGATAATGATGATCAAGCAGTGTTGAGCGCATTTATTTTTAATTATCAAATTATCTGGCAAAATTAGTAAAATAATAAATTACTGGACTTAATCTTAAATTTTATCTTTTTCCAAAAAGAAAAATATGATTTTCCGTACTTGACGATAATGATATCTATTTTCTTTTTACATGTTTTTTCACAAACGAATGATTTTGTTTTCGAGTTGTCTTGACCCCGTCGAGTGCCCCAACGGAAGTTGATTTCGGAAACGAGGCTGTGTATATTGTAAATATGTATCTCGTACAAATGTAAAGTGGAATATTTATAAGAACGAATACTCTATTATTGTCTGTGGATTTACTTTTGTGGGGATTCATTTGATACTTTTTTACGTACATATTTTTTTCAGTGAATCCTAAAATGTTTAATTTTTGGTAAGTGATCAGGTTTCTGAAAGTTGTAACACCTTTGGGAGGTCTAGGGGGTAGTTTTGAATGGACAGGTGTTTTCTGTTTTCTGAATACCGGTCTCCTAAGTATAATGAAGCCATTTTTATATGACTTTACACGAGAGATGAAGTAAAAAATCCTTCAGTCTTCATTGAACAAATTCGCTGCAATTTGAGATGATGAAGTGAAAGTTCCGTCTCGATCCTTCAGTCCAGTCAGTGTTGTGTACAGTAGATCATGTAGATCAAAGATGGATTGATAAAATTTCAGTGTGCAGTAGTGTTTGCACCCGGGGGCATAAATTGTAAAAGGTTAAGAAAAGACGATTTATCATAAATGAATAAACTTAGGAAAAAAAGATGTTTTGATTGATAACATCTTTTGGACATGAAAAATAAGCATGATAATTGATATAGAATAAAGAATTTGGTACATTTATAAATAGATACCTATCCTTTTATTAAACAACCGTATTATAACTGAAGACTTAATCAGAGAAATTGTTCAAAAAATAAATATGATAAAGATATGCAAACTGTTTTTAACAATTGGCACAATTTTCATATATATGTTTTGCTTTTAAAAGTGTAAGGACCCTACGTCACTTTCATGAAAGGCTGTGCCATTGTACTTATTTATTTTTGATCACAAAATTATTGGGATTATATTTTTCTTTTAATTATTATACTAATTTTAATTGAAGTACTTGAAAAAATATTTATTTTGTTGCAGATAAGCATGAGGAGACATGTAGTGAGTGAAAATGTGAAGTCATGCCGATGAAAGTAACCGTGTGTTTTGATCGAGTTCGAGTCATTGTTCCCTGCGGAGATGGTGATCTGTTAGTGAAGGAACTCACAGAGAAGGCAATCGTACGCTACAAAAAAGCCACAGGAAAGGTAAGCTTTTGAGGCCCCCAGTACAGTTAGTTCATGTACACTTTTGATGACATGTTCATTTACAATTCAAAAAAAGGTAGTTCTCTATGTAGATCAGTTTTTAATATTTGATGATTTCACAGTTTTTTTTTTTTAAGAAATCTTCAAAAAGTTTGATTACATGAGGAAGTATTAGAAAGGAAATTCATTAATAAGAATTAATCAGACCCGTGAAACCTGAAAAAAAAATGTCTACAAATCTTTAATTTCCAAGAGATTCTGATTTATAATAGAAAGATTTAGTCAAATCTGATCTGTGAAGTACCAACCTCTGTACTCACCCTCCACACTTCCTGCACTTCAAAAAAAAAAAAAAAGAACAAATCACTAAAACGGGGTAAAAATCCTTTTTTTTTAAATAATGAAACAAAGATTTTGTCTTATCCATATATGCATTGGGTGTTACTAAGCAGAATTATTGAAGAATTAATGAAAAAAAGATAATATACTTATGTTATTTGAATATATAATCATGATAATGTTAAGGGGGATGGGGGAATCATTTTAAAATCTGCATTTTGAAAATGGTTGTCACATATTTTGCAGCTATAAGAATTTCCTGACGTTTTTCCTGACATGGAGTCATTTTGACTAACAGGTTTAATTAAAATTGGCAAAATTATGTAAATTTGAAATTATTTTTAACTTCAGGCATAGACAAGAACTTTAATATTCATACTGTGCAGAGTTGTAGCTTTATGTGCATGATCCTTTTATTTCATAAATGATAATGATAATTATCCTGTACAGTGTGTGCAGAACAAAATGATTTTGAAATGACTACAGTATTAATGCATGTGTTTGTAATTGATGAGATCAGCAGCATTTTAATGGAATGTCATAATATCCCAATCTATTATCTATGAACCTTGAAAAAAAACCTCTCAGAATATCACTGGTCATAAATGCCATATTAGATGTCTAAAGTCAAATGTTGCTATTGAGCTTATGAAATATGCAGTGCCAAAGTAGGCATTAAAGGACTTATCGCATGATCTTTCAAAAATCGTAATTTTATGAAAAATATTAGCTATAACCTTATTTATTAAAATACTGAATACAATAAACGTTGTTTAAAGCATATTTTAAGAGATAATGAGAGTTGAAATTCAAATACGGCAATATGCATATTTCAGCCGGATTTCGGCGAAATACTGCTCTGACGTCATAGGCGACAATTCGGTGATAGAGAGAAGAGAATATGCACACTATTAACGGAGTTATCAATGACAAATGCAACTAACTTACGAAAAATTCTGAAAAAAATAATTCCTTATATGCTTCTTAATTACTATAGAAACATTAATTAGTTCTAAGGTATAAGGCTTTTAAGATATTTTCGTTTTTTATTAAAAACATTTAGAACCTGTAGCTCTAATTACGGCAATGTTTCGTGATCGGGAAATTATTTTTCAAGATCGCCATCGTTTAAAAAACATATGAAGACTTGCATAAATTAATATTATATATAAAACGAAGAATAACAAAGTTATATAATCTTTAATTTGTGAATCAATTAAGTTAACACATGTGATAAGATGATAAATTAAATTGCATTGTTATGGCGAGTTTCTTCGTCTTCGCTGCGTCTCCCTTGCTATCGTCGCTGTTATTTTTATGTTAACAGATTTTTTTCTTGCTGACAATTCTAACATATAAGGTTGAATATTCAATTTTATATCGATAAAATAAGTGATCTGGTCATCCACAACGCAGAAAATTCAGGTTGTATCGCGTATATTTTAGTAAGATTAAGGCCAGGTAAAATTAATCTTTAGATTCTCATCCCCGCCCGCCCCTCTCAAAGTGCCCCGCCCCGTTGTTTTTTATTTTGTTTTTTGGATGCCAAGCGTATTATTTTCATGTATTTTTATGCAGCAAGAATCTGGGTCAAAATTTAAGAGTTATCTCCCGTCTGTATTAAAAGTCGCGTGGCGCTATTTATAGCAAAAAAAACTATGTGAAGAATGGAGAAATATCGGCAATAAAAGCAGTTTAAATACGTAAGGAAAAGATAATTTGTCAGTAAAGAGAAGGCAGAAAAGCAAAAATAACATATAAACACATCTAGATACCATCACTGGCATGGGCAAGTTTTTAAAGAGATTTTAACCAAGTAAAAACAGACGAAGAAAATACACATGGTCAAGTTTTAAATAACGATCTCCAGTTGTATGTGATTTTGCATTAAAAAAAATAATAAAACATCGTCCAAAGACTTTAGAGAATAATAGTGCTAAGGAAATGTTAAATCTTAAAACTGTTAAGGCCTAGGCTTTTCAGTAGAATATTTTACAGATTTACACAATCCTGTTTTTGTAAATATGATATATTTTAATGTCGAACATGTCAAGTCTCAAGAACGATTGAATGTATGAGGACAGTAGAAGTCTGTGATATCTGTATATCACACAGAATAGAAGGAGTTGTTGGTAAAACTATAAGGTATTTGAGGAAAGGTCGCTGAGAAAACATGCATATGCAATTTATTAGGATCAGCACCTCATTTTGTTTGGCGTGTGCCGTATCTGTGTACTTGATTATTTGTTAATAAAACTATAAATATTTTAATTTTCTATAACAAGAATCTTCTGTAGATATTTAAAAGAATATGAAAACAATAAAATTTATTCATATTGGCATTAACATAATGTAAAAATTATGTGTACGAATGTTTTGTTGATACATTCATTTATAAAAAATAAAAAATAAAACCCGCCCACCCGCCCCATTTTTTTTAGCAAATTAGGATGAGAATCTAAATTTTAAATTTATGTGGCCTAATGAAGAGATGATCAGCCATTGTCGCCTTTGACGTCACAGGGTCACGTGATCGCTATCTAATTAACTTAGATTTTTAATTCAAGGGTTAACATTTGAGTCAATAATTGGTTAATAACCGCAATTTATCCATAGTAAAAACACAGAATTTATAAATTGTGGTCATAAGGAACGTAATACGCTTTTAATTTCAAATAAATTAGAAACATGCGATAAGTCCTTTAATAAATTTTCTGGTAGTGTGTTAAGAATCCACCATTTTTGGAGGGGGTGTCAAACTTTAAAAAAATCAGCTTTCAGGCCAGTGGTTCACCTGTTAATATAGCTTTCTTGTATATAATTTTAAAAAAGTACTGAAATAGTTTTCAGATCTGGTAGAAAAATATTAAACGTACAGTTTCAGTGGGGTGATAAATAACCCTCCCCCTCTCCCAACACATACACACATACTCTGTGGTAAATACTGGGATACTAAAACTGTTTCCGAGGGATAAGTAATAATTAATCCAACACTTTAAGTACTGAGGAAAGTATTAGTAAGTAACTATAAGATGTTGCCATGCATATCAACATGATCGATGGGAGTAAATATATACAGAGTGTTTTCAAAATGTAATGTATGTCATTTACTGGATCATACAGGTAACATTAAACTGAGGGTGTCATTTTGTGTGTGGGTATAGGTGAATTGAGAAACATTCAAATGCTATACAACAAGAGATGGGATCTGCTTTCATCAATCAAGTGATTAATTCACATTCACACATGGCTATTATACATGTTGAAACTCTGGGCTGTCTTTGTGTAGTGAGGGAAATGTCATGGGAACCAAATTCCCCCAGTCTTTAATTAAACAGAAATGAGGTTTCAGGTGCATTAACTCTTTCTAAGTTTGCCTACAAGCATGAAATTAACAACGGGTCTCTCAAGCCATGTGTTTTTGGGATGGATTGCAAATTGCATAATTAGAGAAATATGAAGAAAGCTAGAGAACTGAAATCTTTTAATCTTTCAAAACAAACAGTGTTCTTATCTTGTATTTTCCCTAACAGAGTTCAGTTTAATTATACATGCTTCTTTCTTCTCCTTTTGTTAATTTTTTATGAATATTTACAAAGTTCACATTTGCTTGTGCTGTACATCACATGCAAAATCTTACATGACACATATCTGGCAAGTATAATATAAATTTCTTTGAATGTTGTGTGACTTACAATATTGTAGTGTTTTTCCCCCCTTTTTTTGGAGGGGAGGGGGAAGGGCAGTATACAAGAGAAAATATTTTTTTTGATTTTAGAGTTTAGAGGAGATGCAGGAGAATTATAAATAGTAAAAGAAGGGATGTTGAATGTTCTCTATTGAATGAAGGGGTCTAAAAGAATTACTATGCTTTGAATAATAGAATAAAGTAAGGGACTGGTAGAACTAAAAGGAAGGATACTCTGTTAGATTAAACAAGTTAAAAGAGGAGGATACTGCTGTTTGTCAACTGTGAGTGAAGCAGCCTGAATAAGAGGAACTGGAAGGGGGTCCTTTCTAATTTAGGGAAGGAGGGATGTGCTAATAGAGTTAAAAGGGGGATGAGTCCCTGAATCCCTGATAGCTTGAAGGGAGATAACTCTGACTGAGTGATGAGCTACAGTGCACACTGTTGGAAAAAAAAATGTGAATTAACATTAAAATAACAACTATTAAATGTAACTTTCAATCCTGTGTGAATTACTGGGGATCATAGATCACAAGTTGTACAGAGTATATACAGTGGCGCCGCGTTTATCCGGACGCCATTTATCCGGACGCTTCACCATCCGGACGATATTTTTGGGGAACCGATTTTTTCCACGTTATTTTGTCTCATTAATCCGGAAATTCGCATTCCGTATCCGGACGATCAATTTCTACTACAAAACATAATAGTTCATTGAAAAATGACTCGTTTATCCGGACAGTAATTTTCGAAGAAACGACATTTTCCCACTTATCTTGCATTCGTGTTAATTGTTGTAAAAACATTGGCCATGCAGTCAGTTTGAAGGCGGTTACCTGTGACCTACAAACAATAGCGTCTATAATTAGCGTGTTTACCCCAATTCAATCACACGTTTATCTTTATTATGAAGCTCAAAGAATTTAGCTGACACTGTGCATTAATTAAATAATAATCCGTTCAAAATCATATT